TTGTATTTAGAAAATAAATCAAAAAATATTAGTCTGTAGCTGTTTCAGTTCATATTTTAAAGAAAAAAAGTAACTTCTTTTTAATTTAATCTATTTTTCTACCAAACTGGCATGTAACATGGATGATTTGATACAATTCAAGCCAATTTTACTAATGGTAAAATGCTTTATGAATTATTTAATAATTTAAACAAAATTTTAATTATTACACTTATACTCATGAAAGTATATGTAGAATATTAATAAACACTAAATGTAACAAAATGTTGCATAATTGCACTTTCTGCTATTACTCATCAATAAAATGAATATATCATGACCAAATCATAAATTAAGCTTCTGTTGAAATAATAAATGTACAAGTCAACGCGAAACTCGTCAAACATTTAATTCCAAAGAAAGCACTACATAATAGTAAGTATAAAGGATTAACAAACTGAAAAGGAAAGATATACATTTACATTTTATTAATAATTGATCTCCTCTTTCAACCGAAACATAAATAGTACATGAAGTATGTCCGTATGTCGTACACTTCCTTAATCGTAGATGCAGGCGTACCCTCTCAAAATAATAAATGAGTGGAACCACCTGGTAAGCATTATATGGGGAACAGAAAAGAAAAACAAGATCTCGTCTTTGCCTCTCCGTACACATTCTATTTCAAAAATTCAGTTTAAAAACATAACTTCAAATACTCCGCAATCCTTTATTACTTTGTAGCTTATTTTCTTTTTTTTCTTCTTCCTCTTCATCCTCTTCTATCTTCTTCCTTTAAGTATTAATAGATTAATATAAGTCGAGCCGTGATCGGCCATACACCGATCAAATTAGTTCATACACTGTAACAGTCGTATTCTTTACAATATTCGTACGTAAGTCTTGTAGCAGAGACAAAAGCGCAGGTGCCCTATCGCACTCGTTTTTAATGCTCGTCTGAACCTCCGGTGCCACCAATGAACCCCACACCTAAATCGTATATCTTCAAAGTATACTTTCCCTTTCACCGATACCCTACATAGTAAGGCATCGTTTTTCCCATTTTTCGTTTTTTTTTTACACGGCATGTCATGCATCCGTGTATATGTGTATGTGTGTGTGTACTCGTTGAAATTGTACAACGTATTAGTCACAGAAACAAAAAAAAAAAAAGAAAAACAAAAAGCTTTTCTTGCACGGATTCTAACTCGGTCATTTCTTTGCAACTCGTGCATCCAATGAGAGCACCAAAGGTTACGGTCCATTAGCGAAATACAATTTTTTTTGATCCTCCAAATCTCGTCAGACGCACTAGCGCACTGATTACTACCAAAATCATGTATGAGATCGGTTTAAGTCCCGAACAGTTAAGTGTATAAAATTGTTGCAGGACACCTCTACTACGCAATACACAACGCCCAAGGCGCTTCTTCAGTTCCATCGAGTCAGGCACGCCTGGCTTCTGAACATTAATACACATTGTCGCTGCTGGTAAAAGCATCATATCAGATTGACCATGTACACGCGGTGCACGCTATCATTCGTGGTCGTCGACGTCTACTGAACCGTTTTAAAAAGAACATCCTTGAAAAGTGTGTGGCTAAATGAACGGATGCGTGCACAACGTGTCCACATCAAATCTACCTAGACTGAACAAAGATCCGTGAATGATCTAGTTAATTTAAATTGTATCATTCGTTCGGTGGAACGAATTTCAAAGTATCAGGTATTCAATCAATTTCTATATACCACAACACTACTCGCATTCATAAACACGGCATTCGCCATTCAAATTTAACTGCAGTCTATTTCGCTTCCCATTAGACACGTTCATTTTTAGTCATATCATTATCTTCCACTTTTTTGTTTTTTTTTTTTTAGAAAAGATCTTGCGTATCTTTGTACTTGTAGTAACATAATAATCTCGTTAGTACGTTTAGAGAGAAATGCTTCCAAATTCGCAACATGTTTTCTTTTCTTTTAACACTTTGTGATTTTTAACAGACAAGTTTTTGACAAGGAAATAAAAGATTACTAGACAAATTGCATCTAAAAATTTCGTTTTACAACTTAAAAAAAAAGATTAATGCGGTACTTTATACATGAAAATATAACTTTTTTTTCTGTGATGTATAAATAAGAGAAACATTGGAATTAGTCACCAGCAACGACCAGAGTATATCTAGCTTTTTACAGTACAAAATACAGCTCCTGCACATATGTATGTATATATGTATACACATATGCGCATATATATATATATACATATACCTAGTAACGAAATATTTCACCATATGTAAGGATATAGTAAGGCAAAATGCAACTGCATCCTTTGAAAGTCCGTAACAATCACTGACAATATGAACAATGGTGACCCTCGGTATAACAATTATGATTGTACATACAAAATGTGCAAACTTGTATAGACCTCTGTGTTTATATGTATATATACATATATACGTTGTGATGATCATTGACAACCATACCGGTAATTGCATTCATTTTCACGTAAAGAATCTGGCATACGAAGCACACATATTTTGCCCTAGTTTATCAGAATCTAGAATAATACTCCAAGTATAACTGTATATAAACTCGTAAACACTGACAATCCTACAATTGCGCAGCTTTTGTTGACATCTGAAACTAGGTCGGTTATAAAATAATAGTTCAACGATCCTCATTACATCCTTACACATTAAAAATTGGCGTTACTAAACCTTACTTATATGTATTCAGGGCCGGCATGTTCACTTCCTTTCCCATTACTTCTGAATTTTTTGTTTTTCTTAACTCGAGTTGCTAGAGAGTTCGAGAGGGAGGACCGGATACAAGATGCGTGGATGTGAGAAAGGAACATAAATATGACTGATCACGATTTTTTTCTCGTAGTCATCATATCCCTCTCCTGTATCAAACAACTATCCCTTCATAATTCAATGATCTGATTATCTTTTCTGTTTCAATATGAATCACCAAGAAATGTCTCAAATCTCGTCAGCCAAAGCTGACAAAATATGTCATAAATGCTGCACTTGTAAAATTTTCCTTTTATAAAGTATATTAAGAATCCATACATCTTGCATCACAAAACAATGCGCGTACGAGATAGTTTGAAGGTCAGGGGACAGAGGATTCATGTCTCTACTCTAATTCAATCGAATGTTTATAATATTATTACATCGTATAGTGTGTATTCATGTAATGCTGGATGTGTTCTATGTGTAAATGTACTTTGTGCGCGCGCACGCATGTATGGTGTAGTGTAACAGCAATTAAAAAAAAAAAAAAAAAAAAAAAAAAAAAAAAAAAAAAAAAAAAAACAAAGACGTCATAAGAAAAAACCCTTTGCGAAGAGAACAACGACATGTAGAGGGGGAAGGAAACTAGGAATAAATTGGGCTTCCGGGAGTTGGGCATGGAGAGATGGAAATTCGAACGACTATGACAAAACGCATTTTTAGCAATTATACGCATCAACGAGACATACGTTCGCACATCCCTACCTAGCTACAATTCCCGGTAGTAGCGCGCGCGACGGTAAACGGCTTATCGTTAAGCGAGCGGCACGGATTCCGGTTATCTCCTACTTTCTGTCATCCTGATCACATTCGCGGCTTAAGTGACCAGTTTTGCCACAAGTGTAGCATGCTTTTCCTCCAACTTCAGTACAGTTACGAGCAAAATGACCTGTCTTATTACAATTGTAGCAACTTTGCATTCCAAAACGTCCAGAATCATTACCACCTTCTGGGCAGCTACGTGCCATATGACCAGTCTTGTTGCAGTTGTAACAGCTCATCTCAGGCCCCTGCTAAAAAGATTCTAGGTTACAATGTTATATCATTGCATGAAATCTTGCAGTGTGTTAATGTATGTAAAATAAGAAAATTTTATACTAAAAGTCACATAATAAGCAAAATATTTGAAAATACAATAAAATTTGATGCATAAATTAAATTATGTGTGTGTATATATATATACATATATTGAACTTGCCGTTACCTGTTGGCAGTCTTTTGCAATATGCCCAACACCTTGGCAACGGTAGCAAAGGTCTTGATCTTCTTTACATTCTCGTGCGAAGTGTCCAAATTGGTTACACTTGTAGCACTTATCACGACCACGTGCAAAACCACCTTCTCGATCACGGCCACGGTCGCCTCTACCACCACCTCCACTACCTTGTGGACACTCCCGTGCGTAGTGACCCATCCGGTTACATTTATAACACGCGCTTGAACTCATTTTTTACAAATCTACAACAAACATTAATCAAACTATTATACATACTTTTCAGAAAATAGATATGCACACATGTTGGCATTAAACATTTTATACTATACTAATGACAAATTTAATTTGAATTATTATTATTTAAAATGATACATAAGGAATTACACGTAAAATAATCATACTTGTAAGAAAAATTTTTATTGATATTTAAATTTTAATAAAACAACACAATGGTAATAGCAGTTTGAAAAAATAGGTAAAACAGTACTACAAATGACAAATTAATATATCATTAAAATAATTCTGAAATATTTAATTAATCGCTAAAATTTCAGATCATTAAATATAATAATCATTAATGACTGTTAAACTAACATCTATGATGCAAAAGTACATTCTATTACACAATATATGAGTATCTCCTAAAATATTACTCAAAATGAGGCAGAGTGAAATATGAGAAACAAGATCAGGAATCATAAAGCCTCGAAAGTAACTAAAAAAAAATTCGGAAAAATACACGCTTTATCTGCGATTTTAAAATAACAAGAAAACTATAACATGTGACTAACAAAGTATTCGAGGAAATATAAGCTATTTTAAATAACAATATAAAATGGCATCGTGTATCCATCCATAGTAGGAGTATGTAGAATACACGTGTTTGTGAGAAGCGTCGTGCACACAGACATTGTTTCTGTTTCAAAGATGCTAGCAACCACAGCAACATTTTATCAGAGAATTAATATTCAATATCATTATGTACAAAACCCTCAAAAATCGCCGTCTATCGTACAACGTGGCTCTCTTGCCCCCACTTTGCAGTGGTGGTACGCAAGTACGCCACGGCGCGAAGATGGCATCCAAGACTGACGCCGTACTGCGCTTTTTTTTGCCTTGCCAAAGAAAAGATCGTCGAGGGCGAGGTATACGTATACGGAAAAATATAAAAGACTATATTGAACGATGAAAAGAAATTTTCCTCTTGATATAGGTGGACGAAACAAAATCTTCATTTACCGTAGAACAAGAAATTGAATCAGCGAAGTCGAGGACCACGTGTGGAATCGTAGAGAAAGAACCGCGGACTCAGTATCGCGACATATAGCATCGTTTTTTAGCAGCGACTTAGAGACTTACCTCCGGTGCTTGATGGAATCGCACGATTAATCCTCCTTTCGTTGGGCTTTGCCGACGCGTCAGGGACAATGGGTCCGCGGGAAGTACTGTTTTCCTGAGAAAACTCGAACCGATACTCAGCCGGATGACTGCGGCGACCATTGACTACGGAAGGGAAGACCGGCCAATCGTCGCTACGTTGCCCGCCAAACTCTGTTGTAACAATGAACGCCACCTCCCCTACTGCGGCTATCGTAATCAACTCGAATCTCAAAACTGTTAATTTTCTCTAATTAAAATTATTTCTGTGCTTTTAAAACGATTTTCGTGTTAATTATTTATTGAAATACCACAATTTCGTTGAAGCATCGATTAGTGTCGGAATGGAAGAAGGTGATATGACTTTGATATTATTGGTGGTGACAAACCTCGACGTTCATTGGCTAGATATCTTCAAAGTTGCGTTGATATCTTCTTTCCACCAATCACATTACATTTAAAATGCATCGCAACTTCATTCAATTTAAAATGGGATCAAGCAAAATGGGAACCTTTACATTCCGTTGGAAGTCTTAAAATGAAATATAATATGTACAAATAAATTAAGTATTTCTGAATATTAATCAGCTAATATTATATGTATGTACATTGTTAGTATGGCGAGCAGTATACATCCGTCGCTCGTTGAAAGACGCGATTTATACATTTTACATGTATATGCATACATACATAGTAAAGGGTAAAAATCAACAATTTTAGGAATACATTAAAATATTAAAACGATTTTTTTATACGTAATATTTATTATATGAAAT